TATATATATATATACGTATATGCATATTTTAGTTGTTAGGTTTTTCTTATTTAGTTGGTCTGGTTTGTCTCCTTCAGCTTTAATGACGTCGATGCTTTCAAGGTTAAATAAACAAAACAAAAAAACCCACTAGTCTCAGTATTTTGGACCCCATATATAATGCATTTATTTCTCTCGTCTCTTTCTCTCCCTCTTTTCAATGCCTGCCAGAGGATTGTGTGGAAAGTCATGCAACACAGTGTAAGAGTTGCCTGATATTTATTTCCCTGCTCAGTGATGCGTCTCAGATATGTTTCTGAGGATCTGAGCTCTCGGCTCAGCAGGTGCTTTCTGCTCGTCTGTATAGCGCTCTATTCATTACAGAGCCTTCATATGTACCATGTCATGTATCTCACATAAATCCAATCAGTTAAAACATATCTAATCACTAAATAGTAAAAGTGGAAGTGTGTCATTATAAAAATGATGTATTTTTTATTTCCAGGACTCATTGATGAAGCACTTGTCTTTGTAAATCATTTTATATAGAATTAAATGCAACTATCTTAGACTTTTATGTAAGAATGGTTTCACGAACAATTTATACTGAAAATTATTATAGGATTATTATAGTAAATTAAAATCATAAAAAACATTTCTGTTACTTGAAAAAACTCTGACCTGAAATAACATAAAATATAAAACAATTAAACTTATTTCATTTGAACTGGTTACCAAGACGACGTCTCTTATTTGCATTTAGTTTACACTGATAATAACTAAAACTAAATCTGAAATCAAAATAAATCAATTTCTGACAAAAAAATGACAGAAAAACTAAAAATTACTAAAACTTTAACTAAAATGAAAAATAGAAAAATTAAAATAAAACTATTACTTCAAATAAAATAAACATTGCACAAAGTAAAACATAAAAACATTAAACTTTATTTATTTCCGTTAGTTGCCAAAGAAATATTAACTTGATGTACTAAAATCTGAAATTAAAAATCATGAACAATAAATTGACATTTAAAAAAAAAAAAAAAACCTGATAAAAATACACAACAAAATTACTAACACCTTAACTAAAATGAAAATAAAATGGAAAATTTAAGATAAAAATTAATTCAGAATAATATTTTTTTACCTGAAATAAAATAAACATTACCTGAAATAAAATAAAATATAAAATAAAATACTTATTTTAAACTTATTTTATATAAGCTAGTTGCCAAAGCAACATTTCTCATTTTCATTTAGTTTAATGTGCTTAAATAATTAAAACTAAATCTGAATAAATAATAATGAAAACTATATTGACATAAAAATAATAAAAATTACAAAAACAAATTTATTTAAAAAACTAAATGATTAAACTAAAATTAAAATAATAAATGATTATAATATAACCTTAAATAAAATCACTAAATACTATAAAAATATATAAAAATAACACTGGGTCACGTCACATGAAACATGTAATTTCGCACAGATTGTAATTCCATAGTGGCATCAAAATTGCATGCATATTGTTATGCATTTACCATAATATCTCCTTCTTTCATATTACACTCAAACTTGTATTAATCTCCAGCTCAGAAGCTCATAGCACACTGCCGTGTATTTGGATGCAGTTCATCTAGAGAGAGTGTGCTGTGTTGAGGTGACTCTCTGGGGAGGTGCAGCGTTACGCCTCATGATGTCTGATTCCTCCTGTGTGTTTGCTAATGGCTTCAGGTCCTCGAGGGCCGAAACCATTACTGATCTGACTGGATCTGCAGATTTTGGTTTTTTTAGGAAAGGACATTTCCCTTTTCATTTAAATTTGAGTTAAAATTGTAGGTTTTTTGTTGTTGTATTTTTAAATATCAGTATAGTTTTTATAATTTTTTTTGTAAATTTTTTATAATGTTATACATAAACATTATACATATATACAGTACATATAATGATTTTGGTTGCAATATGAAATCTAATATAAAATGTATGTGTTTTTATATTTAGACACACAAATGAATGAAAATGAGAAAAGTTGCCTTTGCATCTAGCTGAAATAAAATAAGTTTATTATATGTATTATTTTGTTTCAGGTAATGTTTATTTATTTCAAGTATAAAAAAAATAATATTTAGAATTTTTTTTTTAATTTAATTTTACTTAAAGGTTTAGTAATTTTGTTATGTGTTTTTGTCAGTTTTTTTTAAAAATGTCAATATAGTTTTTGTTCATATTGATTGTATAGTAAATATTAAATAACAGTCAGATGTGTATATTTGCTTGTGTACATAGAAGTATTCATATGAATATATTAACACACACACATTTAAATAAACAAAAAAAGAAATACATTATATATATATATATAATGTATAGATATAGCCTATATATATACTGTATATATATATTAGGGGTGTAACGATACACGTATTCGTATTGAACCGTTCGGTACAAGGCTTTTGGTTCGATTCGTTGCACTAATCCTATTACATTTGGAAACTAAAAGAGCTTAAAGTGTGTGAAATATAATGTTCTCAGTGCCACTGCGCTCAACAAGGCAGCCCAAACGACGTGCTGTCTGTCCCGTGATAACCTCCTCTTGCTGGGGTGCGTCGAAAGGCGATGATCTTGCATCGACGACAGCCAGAGATATCGTCAAAAACATCAATGTTTGGCAATATTAAGAGGATTTGGCATTTCCAGTTAATGTAGGCCGGCCTGTTACATTCTTATTTTTATTAGGCCTATTATTATTATGAAGTTACTTTTATTAAATTAAAATTACAATTAATTTGCCCCACAATAATTACCGCATAACTGACGCGCTGCGAGGATAACAAAAGATTAGGCTATTTACTCCTCAATTAAAAAAAAAATATATATATATATTTTAAAAGGTCTTTTAAAACAGGTCTATTATACAATGAATTATAGGCCTATAATCAAATAATAAAAAAAAGTTCCACTATGTACGGGCCACAAGAGAAATATTAATGGAATAAATGAAAACAGTTAGCTATGTACAGTTATGTTGAAGTAGATTCGTCTCTCGTCGTCTCTGAGAGAATAATGTTCCGTCATTCCATTTTTACTTTCACTTTCTGCATATAGTGAATTGATTGAGATTAAGACGTTCACCGGCATTGCGACGTAACTAATTACCCCCGTATCGAACCGAACCGTGACACCACTGTGTCGTATC